AAAAACAACATTCAAATCTACTGGTGTTTGCCAAACCACAAGCCTTGATTCGTTATGCGTCCATGCAGGATTTATAGCCATTTCTACATTTCTATATTCCAAAACCTAATGAAACAATACTAGAAACCAATCATAGCATTTAATATTGTTTTAATAGAACTCTCATCCTCATGCTTATCTGCACCAATACATTTGGTTAAGGTCCTTTTTCAGCACCCATTCAAGAATTACCCAAGGGAACCTTTTAACTTTTAAGTTTTATCTAGAGTGAATCAATCAGATACTCACCTAATACCATGCTCAAGCTTGACGAACTTAAAAACTTGAGCTCAGTCTCCAACTCAAGCTCATTTCTTCTCTCGAAGTTGGTTTAAAAGAATCGTAAAACCTCAAAATGAACTAGTCTTGGCTCTTTTTTAAGTGTACAAACAATTATAATTAGCTTATTTAGCTTATAACATCAAAAAAAGAAGGTGGAGGTCCAGGTGAGAGTTTCTTGTGCGACAGAATCTAGCCCATCAAGGATGCTCCAATCCTTGAATACATTAAATTTGATTGTCCCTGGCTTTTATATTGCACTCAACCTCTTCTTGGACTCAAATATTAGCTAGAGCACAGCATGAAATTTGAAAACAATGGTGAAAACCTCATCATGAAGTCAGCTTTGGCAAATTTTACACTAGAAAACTAATAGCATATTAACTTAACACAAATTCAACAAGCGAAAAAAATTATCAGAAAACAAAATTAATGATATATTGTTAAACAAGCATGCAATGGCTAATTCTCAGGCCAAGCACTAAAATGTTTTAAGTCAACTCACTAAACTATGAGAAACCAAATACAAACTGGGGTTACTATTATATTGAGTTCAACTTGTTGAGAGAAGCATGGCTTCTTACAGCCCTACCTTTAACAAAATCCTGTTTGAAAATCATTCCACCAAGCAATTCAAAACTTTTCTAACCTATAACCTCTATTCCACATTTCCACTTTGAGAAAACTTACCTAAGGTAGTTAGATCTTTTTGAAAATAATGAAATTACCTACAGGGAATTGAGTGAAGAATATGATAAGAAGCATACATATAATCCAAACATGCATCAATTTGACATGTAAACAAGCACATATAGAATTACAAAAATGAACCAATAATGGCAGGAGACTCATACACAAGTCC